TCGACTTTGACTCTGCTAAAAAGCTCAACAACTGAATTTTGAGCTTTCAAGTTGTAGTTTTTTAAAATTAAGTCGATTTCTTGTAATATAAATTGAGCTTTTGATTAACATTAAAAGTAAGCACTTCAGCAATCATACTACACTGCTCAGATTTAATATATATGCCTAGTTTAAGTTTTATATTTATAGCTTTAAAGCTCTATGAAGCTTTTAGCTTACGCTTCAAAGCTGTTTTACATATTTCTTCACCCAGTCTATTTGAAATCCATAAAGAGTATATACGTACAGATTTTATGCGAAAGCTTTGAGGCTTAAGCTCATAGTCTGTTATTACTATTATTAATAAATTATTATTTTATATGATTGTCGAACTTCCAGCAGCTTTAAAGCTTTGCTGCTTATTCAGCAATTAATAGAGCTTTTGCAAGCTTCTCAAAACATTTTAATTATGAATCAAATTGAGAAATCTCTTCTATGTCTTGTGTACTGAAAGCTCTTCTTTTTTATATTCAACTCCAAGAGCCTTAGAACACTAAAGCAGTGAAAGCTCTCATCTTTTTCCTTTCTCTTTTCATTCCCAATTATTATTATCTTCAAATCAAATCGAAAATCCTTGCCAGTGTTGTAAAAGCTCCTTCATGCCTATCATGCGCAGACATTTTGCCAGCTCTGCCTGCCAAACTAGAGCTGCAACATGCTTTAGTTTCTAATATAGAAGATTATATAAGAAAAGTTATGGATATTACGTGTCATGTGCTGCCAGCCAGACAACGAAGCCAAAAAGCCGCAGCCAAAAAGCTCCCACAGACCCAGAGAAATTTGCTAACAATGCTATTAAAATTTTAATGAAACTGATGCCCAGCGACTATGACTCACAGCAGACTAAATACGAAATGAAAGAGACGCTGATAGAAAGTGAGAGAGAGAGAGAGAGAGAGGGAGAGTGAGAGAGAGGCGAATGCGTGAAGCGTTTCGCAGTGCGTGCAACTGCCATATCAATAACAAAAACTAAAGTGTAGCTTAGACAGGTGCATATGTGTGTGTGCCTGTGTGTGCGTGTGTGTATGTGTGTGCCTCTGTCTATGTATATAAACATCTACACTAACTGACACGCCGCTAGGTGGCGCCCATCGCAAAGGCTGACAGGCACGCAATTGCGTGCCAAATGCTTCATTTGCCAGCTGCCCATACATATTCGACCTGGCCGACCCGTATATCTTGCCTCCACCCCCAACCCCATCCCCATTCCCATCCAAATTGCTAAAGTTGGCAAATTATTTGCACGTCATTTGGCTTTAAGTTTGGCGAACTTTAACTTGGCTCAACTTTCATTAACTTTCCTTTTTCAACTTTTAAAGGTGGTCTTAAAGGTCTTACCAGTTGAGCTCAGGGCCGGCATAAATATGAAATGTCTATTGGTTATATTTATACCTTAAAGGCACACAAGTCCTGCAAGAAGTATATAACTAACTGAGCAGCAGCCAGTCCAGCAAATGCATAATAAATAATCGATAACTTCTATATTGATAAAAATCGATAACAAGTATCAATTGTTTAAGGGTTTCTAAAAGAAAAACCATAGAAAGATTACAAGAACTAAGTTTCTATAACAGTTCACTCTAAATTGGAACTAGTTCATTATTAACTAGTTCAGTTAGTACAGCAGTTCATTCTATGAAGTACATAAGCTAATCAATGCCAATGCCTTGTTCATTGGGCTCTCGTTATCAACAGCTGAACTAGTTCAAATGAACATAGTGTTAATAATGAATTAAATGGAATTCAATTAAATAAATATGCAAATTGATAGCCAACTGGAACTGATTCGTTTGCCCATTGATCACTGTTCCAGTTCAGTTCATTTCAGTTACTCTTATCACATTTACCGCACAAATTAGCTGGCTTACAATTATCTCATTGGGCTTTAAGCAGCATTTGCCATAAAAAAAACAGTTACACAACACTTTGAGTAGTTTAACAACACTTAAACAGAACTAACTTCATTTCAATGCAATTTTAAACTGTTTTCGTTTTGCCCAACTCCTTGAACTGAAATTTACAAACGCTTGGGACTAATAAAACTTTTCGCTTGTTTTTTTCTCATATTAATTTTACAGTCAAACAGTGTTGCAAAGCGTTGCAAGCAATAAAAATAACAAGAGAGAGAAGTGCATTAGTTGGGTATGCACGACGTGGAATTACCCCGAAATCTAGAGCTCTGCTACAGAAATTTGAAATGATTGCAAATTTAAAGAGTTTTAATCGATTAGGGAAGGACAGATGGACGGACGGACAAACAACGCTGACTGATTGAGCCACTCATTGTGATCAGAAGTACAAGTATATAGCTGGAGTAGTTTGCCATGTCTTCTGCTGCCTCAAAATATGCTAAGGAAAAGCGAAAAGTTGTGGGTGGCGAATGGGCGTTGGGGCGGTTGGTCGGATGTATCCAAGGTGCTTTGGCAGTGCGCACCCTGCGCTGCACCCAGGCACTAGCACACACACACACACACATTTACAGCTACAAGCAGGCAACCCACTCCCACTCCCGCTCCACACTCTTGGGGGTTGGTAAACGCGTTCTGCTCGAGGCGCAACGCAAATCCGTTTAAATTTATGGCGTGTCATTGTTTTGGCATAAAATTAAGTGAGTGCAGTGCCAAAGAGGAGCGGGGGCCGGGGCGCTGGGTCGGGGCTGGTTGGGTACACGTGTAACCTGTGTAGCTGAACATGCATGCAAATGATTGCAGTGCGGAGCAAGCCGCAGAAGCTGCTGTAGAAGGTGCTCAATGAAATTTTCAATAAGCGCGTTGCCCACTTCAGGCCGTTCGAGCGACTGGGATGGGCGGGGCAGTTAATGTCTGCATTGCCAAATGGCAAAATATAATTCATAAAATTCATAAGCGCTCTTTTAATTTATGAAAGAAGTCCCCAAAAAAAGTTAAGAACAAAAACCGAACAAAATATTCAGTCAGAACAGCAGCAGAGCTCCCAACCCCCTTCGGTTCATCCTTCCGTCCTTCCTTCCTTTCGTCCTGCCATGAGGCAAGCCTCAATGGAAACCCCTCGAGCGGTTCTATGTAATTTTAATTAATGCGTCCGTCGTTTAACATAAACGAAATGGGAATACTAAATGGAAAAGAGTGTGAGAGCTAGGGTGAGGGTGCAGGTTTGAGGGAGAGCTAGAGGGAGAGAGGAGAAGGCGAGAGTGGAGGGGCTGTAACAGCTCTCTGCTTAGGCAAATGCTTAAGAAAAATCTATGACAAAAAACTTTTCACAGACAAAAAAACAATGAAGGAAATAACAAAAAAAGACGAAGAGAAACTTGACAATCTCTCATCTTACTTTTTATTTCTTCTGCTGCTAAGGAAATGCATAAAAAAGGGGTTTTGCCTAGGCAAAAGAGTGCTAGAGTCTGGGGTCTAGGCTGAAGCAACTTGGCATCTATGGCTGTGTTTTGCTTGACAAATAAAAAGATATAGAGAACGATATATGGAAAAAGTCAAGTCGATGTCTGAGGAATTGTATATATATTTTACAGGGTAGCTGTCAGTCGATCAGATAGATTAAAGCTGAGCTATTATACAGTGCATACAACTTCCATAGGGTAACTATTAGTCCATCAACTTAGGTATACAGATTTTACAGGGTAACTGTTAGTCGATCAGCTTACACGCGGTAACTGTTAGTCGATCACTTATGCTTAAGCTTAGTTAGTAGACAGCGAATACAGCTTTTACAGGGTAACTGTTAGTCGATCAGACAGTGACTAAGGCTTATACAGGGTAACTGTCAGTCGATCAACTGAGTTGCACTCGCCTACTTACAACTGTCTGCAGCTTCTACAGGGTAACTTTCGGTCGATCAGTGGGACCAAGGCTGCCCTTGTTCTAGCCATTTTAATGCAAGTGTCGGCAACATCTTAAAGTCGTTCCGACTCTTCTGCGCATATATTTGTTATATATGCCTTGCTTTATATGATTAATGCCCCCCGAAAAGTTGGCAAAGCGAGAAAAAAAGTGAGTTAAGTGCGGCAACTTTTTAGCTTGTGTTTTGATTTCGTTCGAGTTGAACGATCTCGAGTGGGGTATATTTGTGGTGGGGGGAGCTGCTTAACTGCATATTAATCAGCTTTACTTTTAGCCCGGCTTCTGGAACTTTGCCAAACTGTGCAGCAGCAAAGGGGCGTGGCCAGACAATGTGCTTGGCCTTTTTGCAGCTAACAGCAAAGTTTAAGCAAACAGAAGACAAACAGCAAGAAAATAATGGGAACTACTTAACAAAACAATTAAAGAGTTGACAATTAAACTGTTGAAAAAATGTTCAATTGACTCAAATGCAACTTCTTAGGGTTTCTTTTAAATAGTGGGAAATTGTTTAAAATAAGGGAAAATGCAAAGGAATTAAAAAATGAGTGATTAACAAAGTAAATTTATCATAGTTTAGGCAAACACTAAATAAATACTGGCAAATACTGGGAAATATAGTTAAATACCGGTAAATATTTGATAGGGATTTGAGCTAATTATAAAAAACTTAAAATTTATTATCTTAGACTTTTCTGTATAGTGGGAAATCGCTGGAAATTGTGTTAAATATTGGGAATTTTATAAATTAAATGAAATTTAGTTTAAGATAAGTAATATATAGGTATTTATGTGTAGTTAGCTATTAACTCCCTTATTAACTAGCCGCAGAGACACCATGGGGAATTTCTGAATAAGCTCGAGCTGCACTCTTTTATTGGGAAATAATACTTTTAGTTGCAACACCTTGAATCAACTCCAAACTCATTTTCTTGAATCAATCAGAGTTAAAATTATAAAGCTTCGTTGTCATGCATATAAATAGGTATTACCCATATAAAACTACTATAATCTGCCCATATATTTAAGAGAAAAGCCGACGTATTATCAAAATTCTATCATATGTTTATTAGCATACATAAAAAAAAAGCCACAGAGAACTAAACTGTGTTGAGCGCACGAGGATCGTTGGGTTCGTTCAGCATTTCTAGTAGTGTCTGCGCTGGCGATAGCTGGGCGGGAGATAGCGGGAGGATGGAGGCTGGACACTGGAAGCGGAGCCATGGTAGGCACCGCCATGATAGGCGCCAGCTGAACTGCCACTGCGGTGCTGATGATGTCTGTCAAGCAGAAAGGAGAGCGAATTGAGCCGGAAATAGACAACTGGAGGGGATGAGTCCCATTGGTCTCAACTTACTCGTTGGGCAGCGATGGCGAGGTGGGCAGGTGAGCGCCCTCTGCCTGAAAGCCGTTCTTGTCCGCCTTGTAGTTCACCGTATACTGCTGGCCGTCGTCGCCCGTGTAGGAGTAGGAGCCACGCACTCCGAGGGATCCATGGGGCCAGCCACCTTTGAATTCGCCCGTCTCATCGCGGTGAATGCCATTGCCCGTATCGAAGCTAAGAGACGGGACGATGAGACGACCAGAGTTTAATTAATTAGTAATTCATACATATTTCACTCTCGATCTATTTATAAACTCGTGGCTCAACTGAAGCTTATGGCAATTTGCTTTAAATAGAGTTTAATTAGAATAGCGAGAACAATTTGTGCTCGTAATGGCAGCAATTAGTGTTTAGATTTAGATATTTAGATAGCAAAAGTAGAAAATAATGTTAATGTTGTTAAGCATTGGCAAGAGTATCCAGGAATAGATAGTAAATCAGTACACATAGGATCAATGTACGCTTCAAATAGATAGCTGGGAACACTTCAAGTATAACTAGAAAGAACCAAACAAATGTCTGCAAATGTGCTTTGCTTACATTGGGAAATGAATAGAACTTGAGCTCAATTGCAGTTTATAGGAAATGGACACAGAAAACCTAGATATAGTAGGATGATGTTTGGAAACTGGGAACAGTTTTATAAAACTGGGAACAGTTTTATAAAACGGGGAACAGTTTTTAAAAAGTGGGAACAGTGTGATTAAACAGATCACATATTATATAGCTGATCCAATACGAAATTAAAGTTAATTTGAGCCAATCTATGCTAACACGTATTAGCTCAAATTAATGGGAACAGTTATTTAAACTGGGAACAGCTAATAATATGAAATGTATATTGAAATGTAGATAAGCAATCAAAGAACTTTGCACTGAGAACAGTTTAAAATTAAAAATATAATGGGAACACGTAAAATATAGAAAATTATAGCATTTACCCAAAATTGTAATTGCCGCTCGTGTCGCTCTCATAGTCGCTGCGCACAATCGGTATCTGAGCCTGACGATGTCCGCCGACGCCTCCCCGCACGCCGCCCCCACCAATCGCTCCCCGACTCTGTCCACTGACGCCATGGTAGTGCAATTGATTTGGATGCGGCGCCAGATACTGGTTCGAGGGCAAATAGCGTTGAGCTGGACGACCAGCCAGAGCGCAGCTGACAGCGGCGCAGGCCAACAGGATCAATGGATGCCACATGTCACACAAAAGTTCACAAGAAAAAAAATTTTTTGATTTTGATTTGATTTCGCGTATCTGAAAGATACTGTAGCTGGAACTGTAACGGTATCGGTATCGGTATCTTCAGCTCTTGCTGTGGAAACGCTTTAGCGCTGACTGTTTGTGGCTTAGCTGCGGCGCTGCGTCTTTTATACTCTAGCACAAGTTTGAAAAAATTTTAATTGTTTCTTGCTTCGTCTTCAACTTCATTCTATAAAGATTTGAGTTGTTGCTGCTGCTGTTGTTGCTGCTGCTGCTGCTGTTGTTGCTGTTGTTGTTGCCTTTCAATTAGCTCAAACGCTGTCGAGGCGTTTGCTACATGCACCAAAAACACTTTGCAATTCGTTGTTGTTTTTCTCTTTTTTTTGTTTTTTTTTTTTTTGGCTATTGCAAACATTTTTGATTTTCATTATTTTGCTTTTTTTTAAGTCTTCTCCTCTTCTTCTGCATCTTCCACTTTTAATTAATGTTCAGCTTAAGCGAAGGCTTTTGGCTTCACCCAGCTTTGGGTGTGGGCGTCTAGCATCTAGTTTTTTTTTTGGCCTTTTTCGGGGTGGGCTTAACTAATTATAACTCATGTGCCACCATCATTAGCTAGCACACACACACACACACACACACACACATACACACATACATCAGCTGCCGGCTTGCTTTTTTTTTTGAAGTTCCGGCTCGCCTCGCGCTTTCAAGTGCCCTCACCTGAGGGCCGAAATCCCGAGCGCAAAAACAACTTGAGGCGATCAGCAGCAGCAACAACAACACACTTAAGCTACATCATCAATAAATCCGTAAACAGTAGCTTCAACACTTCTACAACGTTTACACATTCTCATTCTATTTGCTTTTTGTATTCTAATTCGTAAAAGTCGTAAACGCATTTCATTGAAATTATGGACAGAGACATATGTGGGGTATATATACATATATATGTAGGGTATATGGGTGTGATGTATATAGTAAGATCAAAATTAAGAACTGAGTCAAGCTAGTTCTGTTCCGTCTACACTTTTTGTATAAATCGATAACTTTCGATAACATTTCTTGGAAATATATAAGAAAATTATATAAAAAGGAAGAGGGAGAAGTGAGAGAAGAGGTAGAGAGAGAGAGAGAGAGAGAGAGAGAGAGAGAGAGAGAGAGAGAGAGAGAGAAGAGAGTAAAGAACAAAAGAGACGGAGAGGCGACATGAGTAAAAAGTAAAACAGAGAAGAGAGAGAAAGAAGAGTGAGAGACAAAAGAAAAACGATGAAAGAGGGAACATTTTAAATCTAAGCTCAACAAATTCTGTATATAAATACCCTTTGAGTATACACAAATAGAAAATACTTCACATTTTCTGCACTGGCTTGAAGCTTGTGCTCCTTGAGCTTTACATGCTTAACGCGACGGCAATGCAGCTCAAGCTTTGAATACTTTTCCACATTTTCAACTAAATTTTAAGCAGAATAAAATATTTTTAGTAAGCTCTGTGCCAAGTTACGGTATCTACTAGTCGAGCACATTCCATTGGAGCGATTCTCTTACTCTTTTCTTAGTGAATGAAGTCTTTCATCTAGCTGCTCTATTCGTAATACCCTTCATGTATAACACTGATATATAGCATCAATATGAAATAGCTTTATTTGCAATTGCTTTCAATTGCTTGGGGTATACCCAAGCAGATGTCGCTCATTCAGGCACTTCTCGCACTTTGATTGTGTGGCATGACGAGACAGGTTCACAGCTTAGGATTTTCCCCAAACAAACAGATCTGGAAGTATAAATAGCACTGTGAGCATTGCTGCTATTGCTAAAAATAAAAATAAAAAAATAAAAAAAAAAATAAAAAAAAAATAAATCAGGCAAGAGTAGGGTGAGCACGACTAGCAGATACCCTGAACAAAGTGCGTAGAGCAACGATTTCTATCAACTTTAGCTGTGTTTTGGCTGCGTTCTGAATGCTACTAAGACAGCAAGTAGAGTATGCGAAGGTTGTGCATACTCAAGGCCAAACATAAAGAACAAAAATAAGTCTAACATTGTTCAAATGTTATCGATTGAAAGCGTGTCGCCAGTTATCGATTGAAGTTGCCATTGAGAATTAAGAACTATTTTGTGATATGCCTGCCTTTATCGAAGCCTATATACCCTATATGCTCTCATATTTATATTGCGTCCAGTGTCCAATTTCAACTCCAATTCCAGCTCCATTCTCAAGTCTGTTCCCACAGCCGCTTCGCTTCGCTTTGCTAAACAATGGGCATAGCTAAAGAATATCCGCAATTATTATAATAATGACAACAACAGCTTTGTTGTTGTTTATTTATTTAGTTTTTTTTATTGAAAACAGCTGTCAATAAACGATAAAGCCAAAACGTCATTAATTAATTTGAAACATAATTAAAATTGATGAAGAAACTAATCAAATAAATGCGTGAAAACTCAACTGCGGCTTGGCTGACGCGAGCTACAATTAGAAATTAACAGCGTCATTATCATCACTATCATCATTATCGCCTTCATCATTAGCATTCATTCATTATTGTAACGAGCTTTGGCGTCCAAGCGAAGATCTTCAGGCAGCGCGTGCCACGCTGTTGTGTCTTCTTCTTGGCTTTGTTTACGATTATGATTCGCTTTTAGTTTAAAAAAGTGCGCAACTTTTATAGTCTCTTTATATATATATATCTATAAATCTAATATATTTATATCTCTATCTTTACCAATCTATTCCTCTTCATACTTATGCTCAAAATGTGATTTCATTCAACTTTCTCTTGCTTTGACATAACTCAAAAACATTTCAATTCAAATGAAATTTTTATTTTAATTTTTGCTGCTTTTATTTGCAATCTGCCTTATACTAGACAATAAACAAATTTTTTAACAATAATATTACAATAAAAAAAAAAAAAATATTACAATAATAATATGGCTTGGGCTCCAATGAGATCAATCCATATATTTACCTACTTGACACATTTAAATTAAACGAAACAATTTCTTAAATCTAAACTGAAAACTTAGCCCTGCTCAGTCTATATAGATGTTTATCTGTGTGTATATATATGTATATACTTATATAGATATGTACTTTCTATATATAATACGCGTATATCTCTTTGCCTCTATCTTTGCTTCTCTCTTTTTACGTCTCTCTTTTTACGTCTCTCTTTTGCTTTCTTTCTTTCTCTCTTTCTAGTCTTCTTTCTAGTCTTCTTTCTCTCTCTCTCTCTCTCTCTCTCTCTTTCTCTCTCTCTCTCTCTCTCTTTCTCTCTCTCTCTCTCTCTCTCTCTCTCTCTCTCTCTCTCTCTCTCTACCTCTCTCCCTCCCTCCCTCCCTCTCTCTCTCCCTCCCTCTCTCTCTCTTTCTCTCTCTCTCTCTTTCTCTCTCTCACACCTTCACTCTCTCACTCTCTTCCTTACTCTTCCCCTCATCCTCTCTCTGTCTCTTACTTGCTTTATCAAAGGCTTCTCAGAGCGTTGCACGAGGAAACCTCTTTCATTTTTTATAGAATCTGTATCAGATCATGTAACTATATTCGCTATAATATCTCTTTTGAACATATATGTGTCTTTATAAGCTCTAAATATCCTAAAAGTTATTCAAAGTGATATAGAAACTAGATCATGTTTATCCTCTATATATATGTTTATGCTATATATCGTATATATATATTTTTCTTTATTCCATTTATATTATATAAGTTAACTTATAACACTTAGTTAGCTTATAACACTTAATGTTAGGTATTATTCAACACTTATTATCGGGTGCTAGACAAGTTAAGGAACAGCCCTGGCAAGGGCAACTCTACTTACGCCGGTGAGGCTATGATTTGTAAAAATATAGATCAGTCTCGTGTTTTAACTCGTACTGATAGGACATGCTAAAAATTGGTGTCATATAAGTAAAACTAAAAATAGTGAATATAATAAGAAAAACCAATAAAATTAACTGTTTCGATTATTCAAAAAAGAACAATTAAAAGCAGGGTTAAAAAGCGTTCTTCCAGTAAACCGCTTAAATAAATATTCACTCCGTCATTTGCTCGTTAAATGGCTTATTTCATTGTCTGAGCCCGAGGCCAGCAATAAGAGGCACAGTCGCCTCTCAACCTAACTTTCAGTCACCACAGGACTGGAAAACATATAATTGGCGCCCAACTAGTGGTCGGACTCCACAACCAACAACAATTAAGACAGCAGCGCGGGAGCTGCAATTGACAGATCTTATAAAGGGATTTTTTTTTTTGTTTTGTGTTAGTTGAATCTTGTAAGTGGATACTCTAGCCAAAATTTTTCTTCAAACACAAAAAGTGTTAAAATTTATTTTATAAAAAAATACCTAGGACTAGCGAGTATTTTATATTGCAATTGCATGTAAAAAAAAAAAAAAAAAAAATTAATGATCAGAACCAAGTGAGAGTGACTACTTTGGGAATTTTAGTGGCAGCAATTGATCATTCAGATCGTCAATAAAATTACATTGTGTTACTTTCTGTGTGTCTGAAGTTGTGCATGCAGTTCTCGTAGTTCAGAGCTGTGACGTAATTCGACCCATCTTCTGACGGTCCGTTTTATTTTTCGCGACCACTGACCTGCGCATGTCTCGGTTCAACCAATAGAGAAACCCTCGCAGGCAGTCTAGCGACTCAGATTCCGACTGTGCAGTTCTCCCACCATCAGGTAGAATGGATGTAGATCAGCTTACGGAAGTAATAAGGACGGCTATCAGCAAAGCTTTAGCCGAACAGGCTGCTGTAAACCAGCAGAGGGAGCATGCATGGACTCAAAAAATTAATGAGTTAGCTGAACAAATAGCAGATGCATCCCCATTAGTTAGAAGTTCTTTTTTGAAAATGCTGAAGACCAGACAAAAGGCCTTTGCAGACCCAGACGAGACGTTGCCGTATAACACATCAGTCGTGGCTACCATTAGGACCATAGATGAGCAACCGATCTATACCAAGCTTTACCCATATCCAATGGGAGCGG